ATCTACTAAGGCATTCGTGCAGAGGAACAAGTACAGCGTTCTGGAATGACCATCTCAGTCCCCAGACCTGAATATTATTGAACATACAGTTTGTGGTGTCACTTAAAAACAGCTGTCCATGCTCAGAAACCATCAAACCTGAATGAACTAGAGATGTTTTGTAAAGAAGAATGGTCTAAAATACCTTCAGCCACAATCCAGACTCTCATTAGAAGCTGTAGGAAGTGTTTAGAGGCTGTTATTTCTGCGATAGGAGGAGCTACTAAATATTGAGGTAAGTTTTTTTTATGGTTCCCAAATTTATGCACCCGCCTAATTTTGTTTAACCAATTATTGCACACTTTCTGTAAATCACATAAACTTCATTTCAAATCTCAAATATCACTGTGTTTGTCCCCTATACGATATATTTAACTGATATTTTTAATCCAAACAATCAATGATTTATAAAGGTAAATCAGGAAAATTAACAAGGGTGCCCTTGTATAACTGTATATGGGTGCTATGACTTGATATTTCAGCAACTTATACATTTTCAGCAATTTAGCAATTTCTGCCAGTTTTTTCTCTTTGAAAATAAATGGAGCTCGACATCCTTGAAAGCCTTTAAAATGTTTAGAAATCTTTACTGTACTTTTTACATTTTGTTCTGATTTTTTTTCAACTCCCTTGCGCTGATTTTGACTTCCTTCGACCTTTGTTTTCTTTTGCCAAATTCAGCTTCCTTCAACAGTTTTTTAGCTATCCTCTTGCTTCTTGTAGCTATTCTTGTGTTAACTGAAACTTGTTTATGCTTCTATCAGCTTATTTCTGTTAATTTGAACTTTAAATGCTTCTTTCGCTGATTTCTGCCAATTTCAGCTTTTTTGGTTTTTTAGCTGTTGTTGCCATCTTCAGCTTATTGTATTTTTTAATCCAAATTCATCTTTTTGTGATACTTCAGCCTCTTTCTGCTTATTCAGCAAATGTGCTCTTTCTGCACGTTTGCATTGACTTTTTAGTTATTTTTTCGGCTAGCTATGGCCAATTTAGCTATTTTGCAACAAGTTGCAACTTTTTTGTATGGCTTTGCTTGTTTTACTGCTAATGTGAGGTTTTTCATTCTCCGTTCACCATCTGTCTGTTGTCTTCAAATTGTTTGTTTACTTTTATTTTCATTCTTTCAGCAAATGTCAGCTATTCATATTTAACTCACATTGATAGTTTTGCTATTAAACATGTTGAGCTTCTTCAGCAGTTTTCAGGGGGAAAAACAAATCAGCATTAAGTATTCACACTGCATTTACGTAGAAAATGAAAATTCTCTAAGTTGTTTTACAAAACTATTTCTCTGGAAGACAACTTCCTGAAAAAGTTCTGCTTCATAAACTGAAAAGATATGTCCTAAATAAAGGATTCTAAAATCCATCTGCGCGCCCAACACATTTTACAAGATCTTACAATATCACACACGTAACATGATTTACATGTGTGTCAAACTAAAGGCATGGGTTGAATATGGCCCTTTTTAACAGTTTAAACATATTAATTAAAATAAAAAAATTAATAAAAAATTTTCATTCACAATCACGATTAACTGTGGTATTTAGCCGATTACGATTAATTTGACGATTAATCCCCTTGAGTCCCTGGACACCCTTATTTCTTAGTCACATGACTAATTTAGTGGGAAAAATTTGCTCTTCATAAAAATCTGTTCCAAATTGTGTCAAAATTACAGATTTCAGGCTATACATCATATTTTAAATTGTGTTGATAGATAAATAAGTTACAGAACTTTTTTTTAATGTTCATCATATTTGAAGTAGAGAGGAGCAGCGAGCGGACTCTACCTGTTGGCATTAATCATATTAATTGTCAAGTGCCAAAAATTAATCGATTTATGTTTTTCTGACGATTAATCACACACGATACAATTATGCCCAACCCTACTTTAGGGTGTGTGTGTATATATACACTCACCGGCCACTTTATTAGGTACACCTGTCCAACTGCTTATTCACACTTAATTTCTAATCAACCAATCACATGGCGGCAACTCAGTGCATTTAGGCATGTAGACATGGTCAAGACAATCTCCTGCAGTTCAAACTGAGCATCAGAATGGGAAAGAAAGGTGATTTGAGTGCCTTTGAACGTGGCATGGTTGTTGGTGCCAGAAGGGCTGGTCTGAGTATTTCAGAAACTGCTGATCTACTGGGATTTTCACGCACAACCATCTCTARGGTTTACAGAGAATGGTCCGAAAAAGAAAAAACATTCAGTGAGCGGCAGTCCTGTGGGCGGAAATGCCTTGTTGATGCCAGAGGTCAGAGGAGAATGGGCAGACTGGTTCGAGCTGATAGAAAGGCAACAGTGACTCAAATAACCACCCGTTACAACCGAGGTAGGCAGAAGAGCATCTCTGAACGCACAGTACGTCGAACTTTGAGGCAGATGGGCTTCAGCAGCAGAAGACCACACCGGGTGCCACTCCTTTCAGCTAAGAACAGGAAACTGAGGCTACAATTTGCACAAGCTCATCGAAATTGGAYAAGAGAAGATTGGAAAAACGTTGCTAGTCGATTTCTGCTGCGACATTCGGATGGTAGGGTCAAAATTTGGCGTCAACAACATGAAAGCATGGATCCATCCTGCCTTGTATCAAYGGTTCAGGCTGGTGGTGGTGGTGTCATGGTGTGGGGAATCTTTTCTTGGCACTCTTTGGGCCCCTTGGTACCAATTGAGCATCGTTGCAACGCCACAGCCTACCTGAGTATTGTTGCTGACCATGTCCATCCCTTTATGACCACAATGTACCCAACTTCTGATGGCTACTTTCAGCAGGATAATGCGCCATGTCATAAAGCTGGAATCATCTCAGACTGGTTTCTTGAACATGACAATGAGTTCACTGTACTCAAATGGCCTCCACAGTCACCAGATCTCAATCCAATAGAGCATCTTTGGGATGTGGTGGAACGGGAGATTCGCATCATGGATGTGCAGCCGACAAATCTGCGGCAACTGTGTGATGCCATCATGTCAATATGGACCAAAATCTCTGAGGAATGCTTCCAGCACCTTGTTGAATCTATGCCACGAAGAACTGAGGCAGTTCTGAAGGCAAAAGGGGGTCCAACCCGTTACTAGCGTGGTGTACCTAATAAAGTGGCCGGTGAGTGTGTATGTGTATGTGTATATATATATATATATATATATATATATATGCATGTGTTATGTGTATATGTGCATTGGTATATGTACATTACTATATATCACATGTGTATATTGTGGGGTTGTTTTTGTTTGTTATCTTTTATTTATCTTTCTTTATTCTTCTCAGCCTCTCCTGTATTAAGCTGCAGTAATGTGCAAATTTCCCCGCTGTGGGATCAATAAAGTTTTATCTTATCTTATCTTAATTTAAAAGTAAAAAGGTTTAGCCTTTCACTTTTTGTCATTGTATTTAGTCTTCTCATGACACTTGCTGGTTTTTTGTGTTTATTTTTTTTTTATTTAAAAAGAAATAACTGGATTTATATTGAGAGTTTTCTTTTTTTACAGATTTGGTCATTTGTATTTCTATAAGAATATTTGAAGTGTTATTTAACTTTTAAAACCAAGATTACTCTTCTTATAGAGATTGTCCTTTGGCTTGGACCAAGTTAGTTTATTTTATTATTATTTGTGCAGCTGAGTTTGACCCTCCTGATTTACAAGATTCAATCAAAACGTTCAAACTTCATCACAAGATCATCTTAGAATAAGACTGACATGAAAGGAGTGCTTGGCCTTCAGTTCTAAATGTAGGTGCTATCTCTGTGTAGTCACACCTACGTACTTCATATTATTTCATCTTTCAGGTTCTTTTTAAGTGAAGTTTTGTGGTGTCTAATGTTCAAAGTTGGACAAAGATCTATAAGAGCAGATGAAAGACATCCAGGGAATACTGCGAACATTTTGCACTAGAAACACAACCTAGAGAAAATCTCATCAGTCATTCGCTCTCAGGTATGACTGAACACAATGTTGAAGAAACAGGTCCTAATAGGTGGATGAAGATCACTCACCTTCTGCAGGTAGACCTGCTGCCAGTCGAGGCCTTTGAAAAACTGATGCTCCTTCACCTCTGAGGCTCTACATTAGTGAAACACAGACAGGGTGTTATTTCTCATCTGAGCACAAGGTGGCAGTGCTGGCTGCATCACAGCTGTTCAGATAACGATCCTGCTTTAGCAGCTCTGATGTAAAAAAAAAAAATCAACTCTGCTTCCATCAAACCACTCCATGTCCGCCTCTCATCTTCAATTAGCCACTAGCAAACCAGCCAGTGATTTCAGCCATAATGTAACATAAATTCATCTGACGGATGAGATCATTTGGCTGCATGCGGACACTTGATTTGGACAAAGGCTGTGTGTGTGGTGTGTGTGTGTGTGTGTGTGTGTGTGTGTGTCGTACCCACGGCCCTGGCAGCCGAGCCGCTTGGACACATCTCTCTGCAGCAGCCCCTCCAGGAGATCTTTGAGCTCCGCCGTGAAAGAGTCTGGCAGCTCCACGTTCTGCGAGGAGCAGAGAAGAGGAGGGAGTCGGGGTGAGAATGGGGTGGTTGAAAATAGATCAGCATCATTTACACTTATTAATCCTTTTCAAGACGACGACTGCACAGCCTCATTCAACAAATCTGAGATGACAGAGCTTCCAGGTGGTCCCAGCTGGGACCCCTGAACCAGCACGGCTCAGAGGAGGAGCGGCGAGGCCGAGTAACACCAGTCAGAGGAAAATCAACAATCTGTTCATTCATTCATCTTACCTAATGAATAACAAGAGAACTGGGTTGATCTTAAAACAAGTAGCTCAGCCACATTAAAGTGGGTTTCTGTGTGGAAAACGTGTAACCTTTAGAAGCTGCTGCTCCGAACTCAAACAGAACTTTGTAACAATCTGAGCTGAGAAAAAAACTGAATGAGAAGTGCAACGAGAAACGAGAAAATTTAAATCTGCTGTTAATGGATGGTTATGTCACCATGATAACCATGCACCTGTCCCTCTCACTCCCTGATTGCCAAGTCATGGATAGATAGTGTTTTAAAAGACAACCTGCCATGAAATCAGATGAAATTTTTTTTTCGTTTTAGATCAATTCTCCAAATTATTTTTATTAGTTACGTGACCACATAATTTTCCAGGAAATCATTTATTCTCACAAAGAAGCTCTGTGTTGAACATCGTAGGAAAAATCCAAAGAAATCAGCCAAGACATCAGAAGAACTGTTGACCTCCACAACTTTTTCTTCTGTTCAAACAATCATACAGAAAGTAGAAACACTATAGGGATATCTCATAATCAACGAGACAGGTTTTATGCTCCAGATATAAGCATGTTCTGGTGCAAAATGTGTGTATCAATCAAAAAAACAAAAACAAACAAAAAAAAAAACCCAAAAGACATGAAGAAACTGCGCTGAAGCTGGTCAAAGAGTCAATATCCACAGAGAAATGAGTCCTGAACCAAAAGGAGCTAAAAGAAATCTTTGCTCCAAAAACCAAACCAAAAAGTCAGATTGTAGTTTGTAGATGCACAAAGGGACATAGATCTTTGTGTTTGGAGACGTCCTGTGGTCCAATTAGGGTTGGGCAATATTGGCAAAAAAAAAATCACGATTAATTGTGGAATTTAGCTGATAACAATTAATTTGACGATTAATCCCCTGGAGTCCCTGGACACCCTTATGTCCTAGTCACATGACCAATTTAGTGGGAAAAATTTGCTCTTCATAAAAATCTGTTCCAAATTGTGTCAAAATTACAGACTTCAGGCTTTACATCATACTTTAAACTGTGTTGATAGATAAATAAATTACAGAACTTTGTTTTTAAATTTTGGTCATATTTGAAGCAGAGAGGAGCACCAAGAGGCCTGACCGGAGTAATCCCCAGTCAGTCTGCCTGGTGGCATTAATCGTATTAATCGTCAAGTGCCAAAAAGTAATCGAATAATGTTTTTCTGACGATTAATTGCACACGATACGATTATGCCCAACACTAGATCCGATGAAACTAAGAATGAACTGTTTGGTCAAAATGACCATCAATATTTTTGGAGGAAAAGGGTGAAGCCAGTGGTGGGCAGTGCTAATCCAAAAATTAGCTCCGCAATTTCTAAAGCACTTATGTTAATATTTAGGTCCGCAACTTCAAAAGCAATTATGCCATAGAAAAACTAGCAGAAGCTAATTTTAAAGCACAAGTTTGATTTGACACTTACTAGCTGGCAATAATTCATGTACAATATGTGCATAACACTGCCAACTAGTGGTGTATGAACCCTTGTACAGCTTAATTCTACAAGTGCCGATTGCTCGGGATGCGACTTCATGAAACAGACCTTTGGCTCCTGGTGTAAAAAATTTAAAAAGTTGTTGAGGATTGCTAGTTCGGCTGCTTCTTTGTCTTTTTCTTTTGTTTGCTGTAGATTTTTCATTAAATAAGCATCAGTAAAGTAATTTTAAAGCTGTTTATTGGAAAACTGAAGCGATGCATTCTGGGTACATCACGGATTTGATTTGTGATGGGAAACGAAAGCACGGAGTACAGGAAACTAACTTCACTTCGAAATAAGAGCTTGGATTTTAAAGTTTTCCATGCAGTTGCTCCAGTTGACCACTAGATGTCTGTCTTCATCAGCATAACATCTTTAAATTATTTTTGCGTCTCTAACCACGTTGGCCGATTGCTTCGACCAATTATGTCAAGTATTGAGCTCCAGCGTTTACACTTTTTTTTTTAAAAAAAGAAGGAGCTCCGATTGTAAAGTAAAATAAATCAATACATACAAAATTTTAGTATGGATTACAAATGTTAACTGTTGTTGGAGCTCTAAACATTGCCTTCCTGCTACGTAAGCAGACACAAAGCATTGTGGGAAATGAGAACCTTGACCCAAAGCAACAGTCAGCAAGGATGTATACCTTCCCAATAAGTGTGTTTATCTGGGAGGGGTGCTGTTGAATAGATCACGTGTGTTGTGATTCATTGCCAGCCTTACCTTCCGCTGTTCAAGATAATATGACTGGTAGATAATTACTTATTAGCAGTACTGCATTTTAATTTTAGAAAGTGCAAATCCGCTGATAAATTATAAAAATTAGTAAGACTTAGTAAGACTGCTAAAGTGCAAATTAAATATTTAGGTCCGCAATTAGCGGATTTGTGCTTTAGCAGGCTGGTGCCCACCACTGGGTGAAGCTTAGACCAACCGCACCGTGAAGCATATGGGGAGGCAGAATTGTGTTGCTGCCGGAGGGACTGGTGCCTTTTTAAAAAATAAGCATCACCTCAATACAACAGAAGGACATTCAAGCTTGGGTACAAACAGGGCTTTAAATAGATGGAGACCTTAAACATACCGCTCAGGGTCAATGTTTTGGAATATCCATCATAAAGCCATGATTTCAATCTCATAGAAAATTTGTGGGCGAAGCTGAAAAGGCGTGTGTGAGCAAGGCGGCCACCGAACCTCAGAAAAACAGTTACAGCAGTTTTTTCAGGAGGATCGGGAACAAAAATCAAGCAAACAACTAAGAATTTTGTGGACGAATATGTTTGACTCAAGTCATCCAGACAATAGTTGTCAACTTTGATCAAAGTAAAAAAAAATTGATATTTGACAAAAACTATTCTGGGAATCCTAATGGATCTTTATTTTATCGTATAATTTAATGTCTGTCAGTGACTAAAAATGGTTTATGTGTCAACTTATACAGCAAACATCAAGTTTTATTGGTATGTGGAATAAAAGTGGTTATTTATTGGTATTAAATCACATTTAATGATCACTAAGACATATAAAAACCCATTTTAGACCATTTCTGGCTGAACTGTTGACTTTCACACTATCCCTGCCTCTGGCTCTCACACATACACAGACCAGAACCAGGATTAAGGGATAAACCCGATTAGGTGGCTGGATTAAAATCCAAATCTGGATTTATACTGATATGAAAGATTATATTTTCTTTGTTTAGAGTTCGGCTCAGCCAAACAGGTCCATGAGTGAGTGTGTGTGGCTGTTTTTTCTCAAGTTTAAGGACCTTTTCGAGTAAAAACCACCTAACTTGTTTTGACCAGTATTCTTACAGGGTCAAAAGCCCAGACTAAAGCTCAGTTCAAATACGTTGGACTGCGATTTGAGATGAGGTTGCGACTATGGTGCTAACTGAGTTTAGTTTTGAGTTAGGAATATACTGGCTGCTTAAATGAATCAATATATAACATCTATATTGCAGTGGCGGCTGGTCAATAGAGGGCGCTAGGGCACCGCTCAACCATTACTTTTTGGGACAGAAAAAATTTAAAACCAAATAAAAATCAAATGTTTAGTAGAAATATCTATATACGTTTTAGATGCGTAACATATGTTTTATATAGTTATTAACAGATAAAGTGTCATTTTTACTCATGAACTCGTGTTGAGTCACTTCCGGTTCATGCCAGGGTACAGAAATCTTTACCATTGAAGTCTAATGTTACCTCCTGGGCATGTGCAGTACGTCCTCAACGCAAAAGAATAGGGAGGCTCTAATGTGGTTTGCACACCGATAGTGGGTCGATGCCATGTTCAGTAGGGCAGGACGGAGTGAACCAATAAACAAATGGAGGAGCTAACAACTCAGCTAAGTCTCTTAAACACAACCTTTTTGATGAGAACCCAGGAGAAACTTTAACTAAAAGAACTTGGACCTGATCAGATGGACATGAAGTGCAGCAGACCAAAGAAGAGGGAGAGTTTACACTCCATCATTTGGACCTGGATAAACGACAACGCTAAGCTAACCGCTAGTAGCGAGGCTAGCGTTCTGCCTCATATGTCAAGCATCAGGATCTGATCCAGCATGGATTAAAACAGGTAAGAAATAAATACATTTTTAAAACAAAAATATAATAGTTTACCTTAGCCATACAACAATTTGTTGCTATTAAAATAACATTAATTGTTCTCTATATACAGTGTTAAATATACACTCACCGGCCACTTTATTAGGTACACCTGTCCAACTGCTCGTTAACACTTAATTTCTAATCAGCCAATCACATGGCGGCAACTCAGTGCATTTAGGCATGTAGACATGGTCAAGACAATGTCCTGCAGTTCAAACCGAGCATCAGTATGGGGAAGAAAGGTGATTTGAGTGCCTTTGAACGTGGCATGGTTGTTGGTGCCAGAAGGGCTGGTCTGAGTATTTCAGAAACTGCTGATCTACTGGGATTTTCACGCACAACCATCTCTAGGGTTTACAGAGAATGGTCCGAAAAAGACAAAACATCCAGTGAGTGGCAGTCCTGTGGGCAGAAATGCCTTGTTGATGCCAGAGGTCAGAGGAGAATGGGCAGACTGGTTCGAGCTGATAGAAAGGCAACAGTGACTCAAATAACCACCCGTTACAACCGAGGTAGGCAGAAGAGCATCTCTGAATGCACAGTACGTCGAACTTTGAGGCAGATGGGCTTCAGCAGCAGAAGACCACACCGGGTGCCACTCCTTTCAGCTAAGAACAGGAAACTGAGGCTACAATTTGCACAAGCTCATCGAAATTGGACAAGAGAAGATTGGAAAAACGTGGCCGGCCTGATGAGTCTCGATTTCTGCTGCGACATTCGGATGGTAGGGTCAGAATTTGGCGTCAACAACATGAAAGTATGGATCCATCCTGCCTTGTATCAACGGTTCAGGCTGGTGGTGGTGGTGTCATGGTGTGGGGAATCTTTTCTTGGCACTCTTTGGGCCCCTTGGTACCAATTGAGCATCGTTGCAACGCCACAGCCTACCTGAGTATTGTTGCTGACCATGTCCATCCCTTTATGACCACAATGTACCCAACATCTGATGGCTACTTTCAGCAGGATAATGTGCCATGTCATAAAGCTGGAATCATCTCAGACTGGTTTCTTGAACATGACAATGAGTTCACTGTACTCAAATGGCCTCCACAGTCACCAGATCTCAATCCAATAGAGCATCTTTGGGATGTGGTGGAACGGGAGATTCGCATCATGGATGTGCAGCCGACAAATCTGCGGCAACTGTGTGATGCCATCATGTCAATATGGACCAAAATCTCTGAGGAATGCTTCCAGCACCTTGTTGAATCTATGCCACGAAAAATTGAGGCAGTTCTGAAGGCAAAAGGGGGTCCAACCCGTTACTAGCGTGGTGTACCTAATAAAGTGGCCGGTGAGTGTATATTAGAAAGCTCACTTGTAGCCATCTGCATATTGAATTAAATTTGTGCATTTATTTTTTTTGGTTTGTAACATCATCTTGAGCCATTCACATAGCATCTGATCAGAGCTACACTGCTGCAGGCAGACAGGTTCCTGTAGGACAGTTCTCTGAAGCAGCACTGAAGACCATGGAGGCTCACCCAGTGCTGAACAGGACCAAGAAGCCTGATCTAGTTCAGGAGCTGCAGTGTGGCTCTGTACCAGCTCTTCATGGAGAACAATCTGCAGCACACCTTCAGAGACTGTGACTCTGCTGAAGGTTCTCATCACATCTCCTCTGACCACAGCTGAATCTGAGAGGAGCTTCTCAACACTGAAGACAATCCAGACTTTCCTCAGGTACAACATCACCTCTCACTGCACTGACCATGCTATATCGAGAAGAATCTGGTTAAAACATCCCTGACTTTAACCAGAGTCATGAAGAAATTTGCTTCTCAGTAACAGAAGAGCAAAATTTATGTACTAAAAATAAAAACTACATGACTGTTTTATTTGGATTTTTTAAATAAATACACTGGCGTGAAACAACTTAGTACAAGTTTGATTGCTTTTTGAGATACGTCTATTTTGGAGTTGTAGCCCCACCTGGAGAAAAATCCACCAGCCGCCTCTGCTATATTCACTATATGAGTCAATATAGAAGAAGTGAATATGACCTTTCATACATGTCTTTGTATTGTTTGTGTGGAAATATTTTAATACTATACTATGCTTATGGGGACATTTTGTCAATGTTTGGACATTTGCCTGATCCAAACAATGGAAAAACTCTATTTGCAGGTCAGGAGTTAGTACTAGGGCAAAGGTATAAATTAAGTTTAGTTTAGGGTTAGGTGGTAGAAAATGAATGGAATTCAATGCAAAGTCATCAAAAATAACGTGAGACGAGTTTGTGTGTGAGAGAGCAGCTTCTCTCAGAGACTTGGACGAGTTCCACAGTGATGGACAGCTGCTGGTGCTGCAGTGAAGCTTCACTCTGCTGCTTCTTAATGTAAAGCCAGGAGAGGACGGGAGAAGCAGAGACGTCACAGTGGGGCTCAAAGAAGGCCATTCATAAAGAATGTGACCCGTGATGTGAAAAAGAGCTCAACAGTGAATTCCTCAGACATGTAACATACTGTATATGTTACAACTGCTGTTGCTTTGTAAAAACTGGGGGCAGCTGCAGCGGTTCTTCCAAGAACTCTTTAGTGATTAACAGAAGTTGGATGCCACTTCCTGTTTGTACATCACCATACAGTCAGCTCCAGACAACAGGACATCAGCTTTGTGCCATTAATTGTATCAACAATGAGGGAAATCTTCTTGTAGGAATTTCAGTGGCTGATTAATAAAACTGTTGTGTCTGAAAACTAAAAGCTAACAGTATACGATTTTAAAAGTTAACAAAACAGGTAGAACCTCACTGAGCTCCGACTAATGGAGACTAGTTGGAGATTCTAAATTGCGTAAAAATAAGTTGTAGTTTCACAAAAATCTGAATTTGTGCAGCTAGTTTAGAAAAATCCCAGTTTATTTATATTATTTTGTTGCAATCTCTGCCAACATCATGCCTGCTTTGACTATTTGTACCCACCCATCTTTTGATAAGAAGATGGGCACATTTGGACCAGCTACATTTTTTACTAAATATGTATTTCCAAAGTATTTTTTAGACCTGGACATGTTTTGTATCAGAGGAGAGTTCTGGTGTCAAAATACAGCTACAGATCTCTTGAGACGTGTTGGACACGCCCACAACCAAACTAAAGAGTTGATAACGTCACAACTCTGTGGCTATTTTGAGAGAAACTGTATTTATTGAGAAAAATAAGGTTGCATATATTTCAAGTTTCAAGTTTATTTATATAGCACCAAGTCACAACATACGTTGTCTCAGGGCACTGTACATAAAAAGAATAATCTAAAGAAGAA